AAAGAGCCGGCGCCGGCGGGGGGCGAAGCGGCCCCTGCCCTTCCCTTCAGAGCCGGGGGCAGGTGAGGGAGAGCCCCGGGCGGGAACCGCAACCTCTGTGCTTCCCTGGCTGCTTCCCTGGCTGCTTCCCTGACCGCCTCCCACCACCCACCGTCTCCTTTGGCACCCGTTGTTCCCGGGAGCGAGCCCCTCATTCCTAACTCCAGCAGGACCCGCTCCCCCTCGGTCCTACCCCGCCTCAGGCAACACCGCGACAATCGGGGCTGGGGATGGGAGGAAGAAACCGGGCMAGAGTGCCTGCACTCAGTCACGGGTCTAGGAATGGGAATTTGGGGCATGGATACAGCACAGCACACCGCTGGCTGCTCAAGAGAGAGATGGGTGAGGCCTACACGAATTTCCTCTGCTGCTGTCTGGGAGCAAACCTGGAGCTGCAGGACAACCGCAGGGCAGACAGGGTGGCACAGCAGAGGGTTCCCCAACAGTCCCAGGCAAGGAAAAGTCATGAGCTGGGTCTGGGATCCATCCAAGGGACTTCCATAGAGACAAAGCAACCTAGAATATACACTTTGAGTCACCTTAGGAAAACCAGTCAGTGAGGATCAGGCACAGATACAACTGCTGCCTTATTCAGGCCGGTTCTGAAGGYCTGGGCCTGAGCTTAAGTGAAGTTTGGGATCATGCAGAAGGTGCAGGTGTGGTCAGTCACAGAAATTAAAGCCTGTTAGTGCATGCTTTAAGTGGGGCTGCAGCATATTTGCAGAAAGATGGAGTAATGTGTCATATCTGGTTTGTGGAAAGACATGTTTGAAATACTCTTTGTTCTTTATCTRTTAAATATTTTAGCAAGGGCTCCATGATTATCCAGAATCTGAACTGGAGCAATCTGGCATACCACCATCTGCTGAACCACCTGAAGACCACACACACACCTACAGCTGAATCTGTACCATCCCTGGATGACTTACCTGGCGTGGAAACACCAACATCTGCAGCCCAGCCATCTGTAGTGGAGCTACCAGTGTCTGCAGACCAGCTGGCTGTCAAGAAACCACCACGTTCTGAGGACCAGTTCCTGCTCTTTGTATAATCTGCATGCAGGGAAAGCTCACCTGAGATCAGATCACCWGTGGATGAACTTGCAGGTTTCCAAGTCAAGATGTATGCCTCTGACTCCACACAGGATAGCAGTAACACAGTTGAGACTCTGTTGACAGCAGCAGAGCTTAATTTTCAATCAGTGGAAAATCCAGAGGCATTTGGAGACCCCTATCAACTCGCCATYAATTATGTGGAGGAACATAAAATTCTGGAGATATTTCAGGTGAAATACATATTTCCCATCTCCTTCCAGAGGCTTTTTTGAAAAGATTGACCTAAAGTTAACTTAAACCAAATTATCCCTTTCYCAGATCACTCCTTGTCCTATGCTTTATTAAGTACAGACTTAATAAAAAACTGTGAAAAAGGACCCTTAATCATCTTCGGTGTCTGAAAGAGATTCTTGCTTTTTAAAATGCATTTGAACAGGAAGTGCAGCCACCCATCTATCCAAGAATCAATAATTCTCTCCTTTTGTCTGTCTCTGTCTCAGGACATCACAGAAAAACTGGTGTTCCATCAGCCTGATGACCCCTTGCAGTTTATATTGCAGCAGGTATGGTTCCTTGCTGGGGCTCAGTGGGGACGGGGTCAGCTTTGCTGACWCCACAATCTTGGTAAGCTCAGGACTGTTTCTCTCACTGTGTGTCTGTGTTCTTGGGAAAAGAACAGGCAGGAGCAAGTGCCTGGGGTGYGAGGGACCATGTGTGCTCTAAGAGGAGAGGGAAGGAAGGTATGGCAGGGCTGGGGGGARGAATGGGGTGAATGTGCTCTGGAATTAGCTGAGAAGTGAGGGAAGCTAATGACAGAGATGTCKCTGTGACCTTTCTCTAGCTGCCTCTACCCCAAACTGGGAGGGAACACTTTCTCTGCCCACAGCCCCCATTCAGGAGAGCTGTCTCTGTTCATCCTGCAGGGTGTTAAAACACAGGTAATTCAAAGTCAATGAGGTGAGACAGGAGTTTGGGRATGAGTTAGAAGTGTGGGTTGCTCCTTGGGAGAAGGATGAGGTTAGAAGAAAACAAGCAAAGAGTGACTCTCTTCTTTCATTGCCCCTGGTCAGGCAGGAGAGGCACCATCTTTGGGGTTTGCTGTTGGGTTCATSGTGTACTGAATGCAAAACCTCCAGAGGAATGGCAAGGTCAGTTCTGGGCATAGGTGTGAAGGGAAATTAGATCCCAAATGACCCTTTTCCTTTTCCTTTTGCCCAGGTGCAGTCTCTGATAGATGCCAGGCAAGCAGAACCAGCTGCACAGATAACACCAGAGAACACAGATGCATAGGTGTCTCCAGAAGAGGGCCAGTACACTCCTTTTGGCCCCTGCTGACTGTGCTCTTATGGTATTGCCACACTATGCCTTCACAGCCCCAAACAGTCATTGGCAATAACTTGGAAAACTCTGCTTGTCTGTCTCTTGCCTGGTTTCTCTGTTTTGTGTGCTTGTGCTTCCCCTTGGGTTTAAATCCAACAACAAGGTATTGGTTTGGAATCACAGACTGAGATCTAAGTGTTCATGGACCTGCATGCATATATTGCACATTTGAAGGGGCAGGTCTGCTGAGCTCCTATGTATATAAATGCTTAAATCCCATATTTAGGCCACCCCAGACTGCCTTTCTGTGCAGAGAAACTGCTCAGCTCAGACAATGCAAGCACAAAAATAGAATTAAAGCACACAAGTAGAATTAAAAAGCAGYCCTGGACAACCCACAGCCTTCTTTTTTCATGTTGCATTGGTGGYTTGCTCTGTCCAGTTATGCAGCAACACCAAAGTAATTCTTTGATAGACTGGGTCTGGGCTTTCCCACTGCCCCCAGGGCTCCTCTGATGCAAGAATCTGTCTCTCTGCCTCTTCTACATACTGATACAGCTGTCCCACCCTTAACCATCACTGTGCTTTTTGGGGTTGCCCAGTGTATGACCAGAACAGTAAAGCAACAGTTGCACACACACCCTTTATTCTTTCAAAAGGCATTGTCACTCAGGAATGTGGGAGGTGAATAAAACCAAACAAACCAAAACCAAGCACTGGTAGCCCAGAGAATTAAGAGTCAAGGTACATTTTGCAAACACATAATTTGAACTGCTTTTGATCTTTGAAACACTTASAATCCTTGTTTTCATACTATCCAAGTGTCTGTTTCTACCCTGTAAAAAAAAACTTTTTCTTTCTTCTTCTTTTCCCTTAACTGACAATTATTTAAAATGTGCAACAGGGCATACTGTTATTTTGGCTTAATAGATTGTGTATGTGCAGTAGTTGCCAGGAAGGTTTGTTTTTTTTTGTCACTCCAGGCTTTTCTCTTTTTTAGGCAAGTGCTGTAATTTCCTGATGAATGGTAGAGAATTCCCAAATTACTGTCTCTATGGCTATGAAGAGAACACCATAAAAACTTCCAGCTATCTATTTTTAAAAAAATAATGTATGATGATTAGGTTGTGTGATTCTCCACGGCACAGCCTGGGCGCCAGAAGTCTGGGACTAACAGAGGGCAAGTATTTGGCATACAAATTTCATGTCTGAGATAAGTTTTCTTTCTGTCTGAGTTTCTCAAAAAGGATCAGTTAACTCATGTGATTCTAGACTGAAGACAGGTAAGCACCCCTGTCATTCATAGGGCAGGSAGTTTTACAAGGTTGTAGTGAGCCTAAAGATGGCTCAAGATTCAGATTAAATCTTCATTGGTTTTATAAGAGGTTTAATGTAGATTTAGGCATTTAGGTCCTACTGCAGCAGAGAGATGCTTTTGAAATCCCTACTTATCTCCAGCAACTAGGAGAATCTTACACTTAGAATCTGAGATTGGTCTGTTTACAAACTCTTGACCAAAAATGTATCAGGCTGAAAAACAATGTCTAAATGCCCTGTCCTAATATATCTCTGTGGAACCTGAAATGTATGGAAGATGAAGACAGGGTCTGAAACCTTCTTATCACTATGATCACTCGTCAGCACATTGTCCCAGGASATGGAGAAGCTGACATGTCTTTGAATTTTGTTGTAGAACAGGATTGGGGTGCCTTGAGGTGCAGCCCTCAGTGTACATTTCCTGCTTCYGTCATTTGGGTATTGCATTTTGTTGATCCCTTTTACTTACAAAAAGCTTTTGATCTGTAATATGTTCTCAGCCTGTAAGTGTATGCCTTCAACTTCATGTCAGCATTAAAGAAGTTATGCAAGGGAAGATCCTTAATTCTTCTGTCAGGTAGGTCAAAATGAGCTGGAAAGCAGTCTTTCTTACAGATGACAGAAGTTTTGCAAGAGAGGCCATACCCAGCATTCCTCAGTAATCTCAGGACCACAATTTTCATTTGGTGACCTGGCCACCTCATCTCATGCTAACAAAGTGGCTGTGTGGAAGCAAGAAATCCTCCCCAGTGCACATAAGTGAGAGCATCTGTCTTGTCTGCTTCTCRGAAAAGAGAAACAGTGTTTTCTGTTCTTTTCTCTCCACTAAGGAGAGGTCTCTCTCCTTTGAGGAGCATCAGTTGTATAGAAATGGATGAGTCTGGACCCAGGACAGCTCTTTGGACCTGGAGCTGTCATCTGTAGATGGCATGAGACTGGGGAAGGCATAGGCCAAGGACAATCCTTCAACTTCCACAGAGTTAGGGGGGAGTTGATCAGCTTTGAGCAAAGACTTTGACCAGAGATCTTGGGGAACTTATAATAAGCTGAGGAGAAATGTCACTTCCTTCACCTCAAGCCTCTCGGATTATCAAATATAATTTTATGAAAACAGRAATGTATTCTCCAGATTGTTTAAGGTAGTGTTACGCAGCTGTTCTTTTTGACCAGCTTTGGAGTTCTTCTAAAAAATACGCTTGAGCTCTAGAAAAATTCTACTTCACATTAAGGCACTGCTGTTTGTTTTTGAGAAGGCTTTTCTGTGCTGAAGAAGAAAAGTTAGATTTAAAATGGAAACTTTTACTGTAGTCTTAATTCCAGAGCAACTCTCCCTTTTCCACAATTGCTTTCCAAAACYATTGGATCCTTGTTTCTTCTTCATAAGTGGACATTTATCAACRTGACATTAAACTGTCATTAAATTTCTTGCCTTGAGTGCTCAGAAGGAATTAGCAGTTCCTTGTCTGTAACCGAAACTATTCCATATAAGTCCTTATAGCACACTAGTGCAGTCACTAGTCACAGTACATTTGAATGCTCTCCAGAATGTGCTAAGCAACGTGACCAACATCTGTTGTTTGCTCTTTTTCCTCTCCATGAGGGAAATGGCTGTGCACTGAAGTGCATTCTTTTTAAAAGGGTGGTTTGGGTGTTTTTTTTTTACCACACCTGTGTATTTCTGTGTACTTCTAATGGATAAGTCATGAAGTGGAAGGTGTGGAAGTTGGAGTAAGTTTGTAGTTCCCAAGGAWGATTCCTCTGTAGTATGAGCTGGGTACTGAGAAAGCACATTGTTTTCAAGCAACAGATTTTTTTGTTCATCCATGGACAAGCACAGAGGTGCAACACCCAGTTCACCTGCCAAATGGCATGACCATATGATTCCCAGATTGTTTCTGGTGTGAACCTTGTGCTCCTCCAGAGGCAGAATGCAGAGGAGCCAATCAGGAAGAAATTATAATCCCTGTAAAATAGATCTATTGGTCCAAAACCTCAATTTCTTTTTCTGCCAACTCTGTATGGAAYTTATGACTCAGCTGCCCCAAGCAATACTAAAGTTGCCTATGTACTTCTTCTAACCAATGGAAAAAAAAATATGTTGCAACAGCTGGTTAAAAATCCTTTGAAAAATTCACACAGCCTCTGTTCTTGTTCTTAGTTAGGTGGAGGGTGCAGGCAAGATCTCCCTTCAATGGGCATCAGCTTACAGCGTGAGACATTTCATTGTGACTCACTGGGTATGAATCATTGCTACATAACACCAACTTTGAGCTRGTTAAATGCCATTGATTTCAAAGTTTCACAATCGTGTGGAACTCATAGTAGGCAGCAGCAACTGCTTTCTTGTCTGAAATGGAAGAAAATGACCTCTGGGTAAAATCCAGCAAAGAGCTGAGCTAAAGAGAGCTCTGGCTGAACGCTGGAGAATGTGGAAGTGCTTGGAAAGGGAGTGTACAGGGGCAAATTGATCAAACCCTGTCTGACATGCCTCCAGGTTGTATTCCAGGGAAAGTTTCTCTTGACCATTCTTTCAGCTGGATGAAATGCAGGAGAACATGAAGAAACATTTCCTTAAGGTCTRGTATTAATATCCGTGGCTGCATTCCTTTTTGGGGACTGTCTTTATGGACAACACTGAATGTAGCAGCATCACCAAAAGCTCATGGCCATAGTTTGACGAACAGTCAGTGAAAAGGAGGACTTTGAGACGCTGAAGTGACATGGATTGAATGAAAAATCCCTCATCATCTTCACCCGGGGAAAAGTGGTGAGCTGGAATGTCAGTACAAAACAGATTAATTTAGGCAAATCAGATGCAAGAGATTTCTATATGCATAATTCAACAATGGAAACTGACTGCAGATATCACAGTAGTTGGTCTGTTTTAGAAATTCCTGCTATGAATGAATGAATGGAGTGGYTCTTCTCCCTCAAGGCTGTAATCTCAATTCCCCATGCAACTCTTCTCACAGGTGGGAAGAGATCACCTTCYTTTGTCACAAACCTTATGGTTCTCAAGCACTAGGAAGGACATCTCCATGGCTTACTCATCTTCCAGCTCAGAAAATAGGAGAAAGTTTAGTGTTATCTCACAAACTGCAGTGAAATAATGCCAGGAAAGAAACAAACTATGAAATGGAACCATTTTCTTTTTGACATTGTTACTTTGAGACCAAAATGAGTTTATTTGTATATTTTTCATTGTTACATATTAAAGTGGCAAGAGGTGGAAGAACAAGGGGCTGCACAAAGCCAGGCTTATCAAGCACACTTCTCAAAACAAAAAGGGAGGCATTGTCGCTAAACGAGTGCAATTCTCAGTTTACACTAGCAATGAAAACTTCACTATAAACCTGCAAACCTTTAAGGCAAATGCCTTATTTAGAACGTGGTGCAACTATAAAAATTATTATTAACTAGGAGGCAGGATCCATGTTAGGGCTAGGGAGTTTGTAAGGAAAAGAGGTAACCTCTATTCTTCCTCCTTCCTGTCCTTCAGCTTATCTTCTAGCATAAAACAGGAAACAAGGGTGAATAAAAGCATGTGTAATACTGTAATTGTTTGTTAGTGGAAAAAAACACGTCATACCAGCCTTTGAAGGGAGAGAGTTCCCACCTTGAGGAGCTTGTGGAGTTTGGACAGAAGAGYAGACATTAGGGAGGAGGTTATATTGCATGCAGGCAAATGGGCAGAGACCCAAACGTTTTTAACAGGGGCTCAAATTTACATAAACATCATGAACACCACAGTCCCTTTGAAGAGCAGATTGATGCCAGCTCTATCCCATTGTAGTTTAGGCATCCCCTTGGGTCTAGCATAATATTCTGACTCCYTGCCAGGAGATTCAGTGAAGCATAGCATTGCCACTTTGCTGAAACCCTACAATACTGAAAGCAAGCACTGCTCATCAAAAAGCTCAGCTTTTGCCCCTGTTGTTTGAATCCTTGATAGCATAACAGAACTATCTTGAGAGACTCCTTGACCATGGTGT